CGTCGACGACGACGACGACGCAAGTGTGGATGGCTTCGTGCACAATAAACGTTTGCGGGTTTCACGTTGAGAACTTAACCTTTAATGGGCTACTTAAGTGCGCACAGCTTCGTCTCCGCGCGCTGACAAGGATTATTGTTCGGCCGCGTTTGTCCGCGGGCTTTTGCAACCAGACACGGCCCTTGGATTAGCTTCTTCGTGCTCTCATAGCCGCCCCAACTTGATTAGAGTTCGCTCCGCTCAGGAATTATCTTTCACGGTTAGATCCTATGTAATCAGCTTCCTTGGAACATACCAGAGCCCTGGAACTTCCTTTATTTACCGAGGTTCGCTTCGACTCTCCTTTCGATGTTAAAGGGCTGTTTTGTCGTTGGATCGTTCAATGTGAACGCTGCTTAAGCTGGTTGCTTTCGGAAAACGAAATTTCAACGGCAGATGACGGCGCGCGTGACTGCTTGCTCGATATTCCTGGTCGCTGGGATTATTGACTCGTACTACTTGGTCCGCTGGATTTGGGATTAGATAACCGGCTAGGACGTACAATTTTCAGGTCATGCATGGACAATGATCACCGATACTTCTTGACGGTTTCGAGTAAAATATAGCAGCAAAATCTATCGACATATTAATCTCCTAACAGCGAAGATTTACTATCTGTTCTTCGTTTTTAGTAGCGTATAAAGTACATTTAGCGAAATACAGAAGAGAAAGTGAAAGAATGGAACATAGTAGGCATATGTTAAAGATACAATACGAAAAATAAAATGAAATTCTAAACTATTAAAAGAAGACACTAAGACGATAAAGAATCGACTTATGAATGAATGCTGGTCACATTAAAATTGAAGAAAAGATGTTGATTTACAATTTAGAGAAAGTATCGTCTTCCTTTGTCAAACTGAACAAACTATCTGACGTGATTGTCATGGGCTTACACAAATTGGATGTTCCTGCAAACTCATATGTCACGGATGTGAACACGTGAATGGGTTAAATCTTCGACTAATGGGTGTCGAGTTAAATTCTAGAAAAGTATCAACTTAAGAATTGAAGGGTTTGCAGCAATATTTACACTGCATTTACTAGAACAGGTTAGTGCAGACGTCACATTTGAAAATGTAAAAGTTTGTTAAAAATATTAGTTGTGTGAATTTAAATAGCAAATTCGAGCAGGTACTTAGATTTTAGCTGAATTTTATGGGTTCGTTTAAATTACTGGAAAGTGGGGCCACTTTGACGTTTATTCCTTAAAATTTAATTTTTTTAAATAAACCCTGTCGATGGTTTTTGTAATTAATGCACTCTTTCGTTCACATTCATACCACAAGTATGTTTATAAGGCTACCAGCAAGTCGAAATATTCAACGAGGAACGTTCATTCGAGTCATTTTCCGCGTTCCGCCGCGTCTACCTGAATAACTGACGCGAATACGACGTTATAGGATTCTTGTAAAATGCAACAGCGATGAAAAGGCCGCGTACCTCTGCTCCTGCTTTTGATTACGTTTCACTTGTCACGTTACTAAAACGATTTTTGCACCACGGCCGATGTAAATCTGACAACGAAAGAATAGAGAGAAGGCTCGATCTCGTTTGCTATTCCATTGTGCTTTTCCTCAGTTATTGCGACTAAATCACTGAGATCGCATATTGTTTTCTGTTCGCTTTCAGAACACAAAGATTGCTCGTTCCTCTATTGGGAGTACAATCGAAACCGATGCAATGAAACTGAAGAAAATTGTTCTTCTTATTTAAAACTCCGACAGCGCAATAAAATTACCAAGAATTAACAATTGGAATTCTTCGTCTTTAGGATTTCCCATATTTCTGGTATTGGGTTCAAGAATTCCTTATTTTGAGCCTTTTGCAGAAAATACTAACAATTGCATTAAGTATGATAAAAGTTGATGATCACAAGAAAGAAAACTTACTGGTCTTTGGCGTTACTCGGTGGCTGTTATTTTAATACGAGATAATCAGATCCAGATCCGCAAACTTTTCTGAGAGATCTAACTTCGCAGCGTTCCAACATCTGTAAAGCGATTAAGACATCTACAAAAACGTATTTCGGGTCCAAAAACCAAATAAACCGACAGGATTTATTCATTTAAAACATAGAACTTATCATAACCATATTCGATATTGCTATATTCTTCTCCTTACTAATAGATTAAATAATACAAGGGAAACACAATCTATTTTTTCCAGGTTTCACAGAGCAAAGAATTTCGTTTAAAATGTTCACAAATTCGTGGACGAATTCTTCCAAACAAATGGCATCGAATTACCGTCAACAAAGTTTAAAATGAAAAACAACGAAACCATGCTGGATGGTCCGTGTTTCAGCCAGTGATTTTATATTCGATGTAACTCCTCGCGATGGTACACGAACCGCGAGACCTAAATAGCGTGAACAAAAATACGCGCTCGTGGACCAGCGTTTCACAGCCTGTGGCTTTTTTAATCCATATTTTTTGCGATGCTCCGCCGGTTTGTTACACGCCGTCGACGGTACAGTAACGACAAACATGTGGCAAAATAGGTCTCTCGATTCATCTATTCGAGCTGATGCCACCAAATTACGGTTACGCCGAAAAGTTACGCCGAAAAAGACCGAGCCAACTGTTATCGCGGATTCGTACACGATCGAGTAGAGCGAGTAATTGAATTATTACAGACGAATACGAGACTTTTATCTGCGATTTATCCGATAACTAGTTGCCGACTGTACCGCGCCGCTAGCCATCGATTCAAATCGATAGAGTAATGAAGTGTGCATGCTCGAAAGGCGCAGTGTGGTGTTTTTAAGGCCACCGCGCCCGATTTGCATGGTGCATGAACATACGTGCGCCGTTTAAATTGCCGCGAGAAATCTTTCTGGTAATAAAATCCTGCAAGAAGGTTCGAACAGACTAAAAGTTAATCGAACGAAAAACTGTCGGATAGAGATTTGCATTGTGACACTGTTGCAAATCGAAATCCCCCAGTGGATATAAAATCTAATATTTTACACGATATATGGTAATCAAAGGCGCTCATTTCCAATTTTCCCGAGAATTTATTTTCTATGGGTAATAATAAGTTTAGAGGGATGAATTTTATTGAAGGAAGTCGTCGAAACGTATTATTCGTTCACGTTTCGAAACGTTGATACTCCCAGGAGAAATTATCCTACAATATAGATATTAGGACGCGGCAAGAGGATATTGGGGCTATGCAAATATGCAAGAAAACAGGAAACTAATATGATCAGAATGCAAACAGATAGTCAAGATGTTTGCGTGGTTGCCGTATGCATATTCTGTGTGTTGCTGTTCGATCACGCTGGAATGTTTCGTAGTATCAACGACTCGATCAACAAGCCAGCCAAACCCATCGTTCTTATGCGATCGATTAAAGAAACTAAAAAGTCTTGTTGCTATTCACGGCAGGATATTTTCCTGCAACTCCATCTCCGTATTTCGAAGAATTTCAATTCAAGATGATGTAATAAGAATAGAGAGAAAGTACACGAATACTATTCGGAATCTTTCACGAAGGAAATATTCTCCAAATTCTTATTATGTCTATACATCATCGGAAGAATAGAGACGTCTTACAGCAAATAAGTTGAACCATCTTTTGCAAATCACTGTTAAACGCTTTGACATGACGTAAGAGGATTTACTAAGAGATTCAAAGTTTACTTTCATAAAGAAAATCTCTAAACTTTTCTGTACATGCCATCAGGAATACTAGAAACGTTGAAACAAATTAGATTAGATACAGGCAATTAATTAAACCACTTTTCTCGACTCTCATTCGTTGCTAAATTATGCTTCAAGATGGCATAAGATGATCTCTAACAAGCTCAAAAGTTTAAATCCTAAAAATGCATCTATAACGAGAACCTTAAAATGCTTCTCTGCAAAATAAGACTGGAGTCATCTTACGTCAAATGAATTAAGCTACTTCTAAAATCTAATCTTATAAGAGGAAACCTTCGATTTCTTTTCTTTTTTCGAGTAGATCAAAAAAAAAAATATATAGTGATTTACGCGGAATAAATGAAACTACTTTTGCAAAGGTCGATCGCTGCTAAACGCTTCGACATACTTGCGGACGACGTAAGAGTGTTCGCTAACAAAATCTGAAGTGCGCCTTTCAGAGATTCAGCTTGAAATAGCCGATCAATTTCGTTGGTAACTAGGCGCCGCGTTCCGTGGCGTCGACCGAAGAGCATGAAAAACGCTGCTTACTTGGCAGGCCACGTTAGCCAACCCTTTCATCGGAGCCTCGTGTTCAACTTCGTGCTTCACCTCGGCAACTCGAGATGCCCGAACTCGCGACTTGCCAACTTTCCACTTGAAAGTCATCCCTTCGACGACACGACCTACTGTTCCACTCTTCCTCAAAACTAAACGAGGCAAAAGATGCAGTTGCCGCGTCGAATTCTTCTTCTTTGGAACGGGTCGCGAATTTTCACGCGTGTAGCTCGATATTCGCTAGTTTTAAAATAGCGAAACAGGAAGTAAAATGGCGTGTATAGCTAAGAATGTATGTATTAAAGATCGTGTGATTACAACGTTCGATAAGTACAATGCAAGACCATGCGATATTAATAGAAAAGCAATCTTGGTGTTCGTTCTATTAATGTGTAATGCGAGAATTTGCACAATTTTCTTAAAATATTTAATTAATAAGCAAACAGGCAAGTAACGTTTCAGAGGCTGCTCAAGAAAGAAAAACGTGCTATGAAATAAAAAGAGAATATTGATATATCGTTCTTCAGGTATACAGGAAGTTTCATAACATGTGACTTAACCCGACACTTAATGAGTGGACAGGGAATACAAGGACAGTGAGAAAGTTCATACAAACGCGTGTACCATTTGGCTTTGTTTCATCGTATCAAGTCATAATCAATTATTATTCATGGAAAATGCTCGAAATATCCACTTGCTCGCGATCATTCTTTCAGATCTACGTCGAATAACAGAGACAGACGCTAACCATTTCGGACACCCCCTATGCAGCTGAGGAATTATTGAAAGGAAATATTGAATCATTGCAAATTATTGAAACAAAAAGTGCCTATAACTTTGAAACACAAAAGTGCATTGAACTATTTCGAATAGGAAAAATTCTACGAAAATAAACTCTACGAAATGCCAAGAGCCTCGAAACCGCATCCTCGTTCTCCTTTCGCCAAAGGTAAAGAGAAAATCTAGTTCCTGGTAAGTGGTTAAGCGTTGACCAATTATGATGTTGATACTGAAGAATTATATTTGAAAATAACTACTGAAAATAACGATTATCTAATAATTATTATTTGCCTTAATAAAATAAAGGAATGGAATACATCAAACGAACGAATCCATTGACCAGGAACTTCTGAGTTTCGCGTCGAGTTCATTAAAGAAAGTGGTTAATCGGAATTTATGGTCTCTCGCCGGTATGTCGGTCGTATAATTTATGCGGTTGGCAAACATTCTGTGCTCGAAATTGCTTAATGAGGCTGCGATTAATCAAACGTCCGCGATACTGCAAGATGATCCACTGCCTTTCCAAATTCCACTGGAAATTCACTCGCAAGTGGAAATCCTTCGGTGAAACTTATTATTACGAATGGATTAGTTGTGTAGCAAATACATAAATTCTTGACTAGATTAATGATTTAGTCGTAACAGAAATAAGTCGTTCGTTTCTCGAGAATCGAATATTTATCCCATGCTTATGTATTTCGATTAAAACATTAATAAAAGCTATGGTTGGCCAGTTTGGCTTCTGGCTTGTTCAAATGCTATAATCGCTCGACATTTATCATAATTTGTCGTTGAATATAACAAACTATTATCGCGCGTTGTCTATAAATTTTCCATAATTTCTGTATGAAATTAATTCTCGCGACAATAAATAATACAGGAGATGTACGCGAGACTGAAAGGACGAGTTTATTGATCTAGACAATACAATTTCGTCCTATTTCCATCCTGTCCTCGTTGTTAATGTCTACTGAACAGAGAATTATGGTCAATTAACGCAAGGACTGGCCAAACTTAAATTTTTCCAAACTGCCTCGCCAGTAGTACAATACTCTCGGGTGAAATAAGCTCAGGAAATTCGAAATTACCCCGCAAAGTGGAACGAGCCTTTCTAACGCGCTCATTAATATACAGACCCGTACGTGCGAGTTATGCCATATAACTTCGATATTTATGTCGCTCCTCTATCCCAAAATGCATCCAACAGCCGTGTTTAACAGTCACGCCACGTAACTTTTTCGTTTCCCCGTGTTTCCTGCCTCTCACTTACACGTTCTTTTTTCTTTCTGCGTTGTTTCGTGCAAGGTTTACTTAAACTTCATTGCGTGTGCATAATGTTACGTTGTTAAAAAAAACCCTTTCGTGCCTTGTCGAGATCTAACAGGCAAAAAGCTGGTCATTTTTCTGAACGCCCAGGTGTATAACAGACTAAACGTCTCGAATATTTCATGCTTCTAACCGTGGCGTTTAAATCGTAAGAAGTTCTCCAGTGTCTGATCATGAAACATGTTTCTACTGCCAATGTATACCATGAAATTTAGTTTATTTTGATTTGCAAATGAATTTGATTCTAATGATAAGGGCAAGTTGGTTTCAATTTTTCTTCAAATTCTCTCGCGGTAAACCGCAGAGTATATCGCGCACGGAGAAACTCGCGGCGTTGCGCTTGAAGAAATCGATAACCGAGCTTGCATAATTGAGCGGGTTTCGCGAAGTCAACATGGCGCCCCTATGCAAACTCGATGATTGATTGATGTCTTGTAGATTTCACTTCGCTTCTCCCAGATTTCCATTGCATTCTTGAACATTTTCAACAATTAATCTGCAAATGTATTCTCTTCAAACGATCAGACTCTTGAAATACTCTTGTTCGGTATCTTCTAAACAATTAAAATAGCATTCCGGTTTTTTGAGCGCCGTAATCCTCGAAATCCCCGTGAATCCTGGAATTTCAAGCCTTAGGAAGATTCACGGAAAATTGGAAAAAAATCTTCGCTGGCCAGTTTCT